CGGTGGCCCAAAAAATCCAATATGGCATGTAAAATTTCTATAAGTTTTTCTACGTGTAGAAAGACTTCTGAACATCTTTTATTTATATTATAATATTTATTTCATATATCTTTCTCTACCAACTAATTATTATCTTACACATGTCAATTTATTCTACAATTGACATTTACCATTGAATACAAACTATTTTTATTTATTTTTCTCACAATATACATATGAAAATGGACATTGTGTCATTGGAGATGCTCTTATAGTCTTGACTTGTAATGAGATTAAATGCCATGCTCTCGTAATTTCAAGTCTTATTTGACAAAACTTCATGCTTTATTGTCACTTGAAATTAGACTTGAAATTATCTATAAATATGCTGGATATATATTTATGGTCATTTCTATGATCATTAATTGTGTTTTCATATAATTTTCTATTCCGAACGTGGTTTGTAAGGAATGAATATTTTGTCTCAATCTCTCTTTTTCTCTCAAATTTTTTAAATTATAATACACTTTATTAACTTAAATTACAAATATATTTTAAAAGTTAACTTTTATATTATTAAAATCAATATTCTCTTATTCATTAGCTTCGATTTGACATTTATATTTTATGATAAAGTAAATAAATAATTATGTCTATATTTATAAATAAAAATTAAAATATCTATTAACTTTAGTTAGAAAAAATAAAGTTAGTTATGAATTAAATAAATTTAACTACAAAATAGTTATACAATATAAGTTAAAAGTATTATAATATAAGATGATTTCGTAGTATATGTGATAGTGATAACTAAAAATAATATATTTAAAAAAAAACATTTAAAATTAATACATATTTTTTTTCATTACTTTTTAAAATTATATATATACATTTTTTAACAAGCACTCACGTGTAATAACGGGTTTATTTTTTAAATTTAAGTATAAATTTTTTAATATGCATCCATGAAATACACGAATATTGTACTTGTAAAATAATAAAACAAAAAATTTGTACACAATACATTCATTTTTTCATATGCAATTTAAGTATGTAAAGTGTGTACAGTACACATACATTCATTTTTTTTTTCATACGCAATTTAAGTATGTGAAGTGTGTACAGTTGTATAAGTTTTCCATATGCAAATTAAGTACGTGAAGTGTCCAAGCTGTATGCAACTCGATTTTTAAAGTATGTGAAGTGTCCAAGTTGTATGCAACTCGATTTTTATTAAGTATATATGACTTATTGACAAGAAAATGTTACAACATGAATTTGCTTGTAACCAACTTCTCATTTTAAAAATTTTTCAGAAAATTTTAAATGAGCAATATAAAATATTAGTTGAAAATTAGTAATATTTGAAATATCTTTTGGTTTTCTTATACGACATTTTATTTTTTTATTATTATTTTTTTATTATTATTTTTGTTTTGTAATGACAATTTCTCCCATGTTTGAGGTTGGTAAACTTTGGGTTATACACTTATAATATGACCATTTTCATACCATATAAATTTATTCCCCCACTACAAAAAAAAAATTCTTACATTCCAACGAAATTTTCCGATGGAATTTTTTTATATTTCTGTTGGAATAACTATTCCAACGGATATTCCTACGTGTAAAAATCCGTTTGAAAAATGATCGTTGGAATAGCAAATATCCAACGGAAAATCCTATGGAAATAAATTTCTACAGCTATTCGAACGGAAAAAATCCGTTGGAATTCCTCAACTATCCAACACTTATTCCAACTTAAAATTAAGTTTGTTGGAATATTCATTGGAATTTCCAACGGAAATTTTTGTCGTTGGAATTTTTCGTTAGAATTGTAGTGTTTTTTTGTTGTGCCAATTTAAACAACATTTATTTGGATCAATGATTGAATTAGATTACTACCCAGGTTAGGTTTGACACAACTGATGTTGACCCGTGTGACTAAATTATGGGTCAATTTGGTCAGAATAAATCGAATATTGAAATTAAATATAAATTTTAATATACAAAATACTTTATTACGATAAATTTAATGTAGTTCAAGCTCCAAATAATCATGATATAAGATACCATACTAGGTCGATCTGACCCGATAAACGGTCTAACCAAACCAGGTGAACCGGCAGATCGTTAGGAGATCGAAGATACAAGAGGTCGAAGAGGCATCATGTCGTTGGTGACACAGCTGGTAAAGACTATCGCCGACAGGTCGAGCTAGGTACTCAGATGGTCTGGTAGAAACTCGACCGGGGGTATGCAAGTTGATGTATCTACCTGAAGGACAATATGAGTAACAAAGAGGTAATTCAGCTCAAAGAAGGTTTAGTCGGTTGTATGATTAGGTCTAATAAGGCAGATCAATAGATGATTGGTCGGAAATAGTGTATATTTTATATATTTATTAGCGTATTTTTATATGCTTAATTTTATTGCACTTCTTGTTTTTCGACTTATTTATTTATTAGATGGATTTAAATGTTATGATATATTTATGGTTTATTTTCAGGATATCAAAGTAATTTGAGGACGCAAAATAATGGACAAAAGTTGAAGCGGTCATTTATCGGGACCCAATAGCGGACCATATTAAGCCCCATAATTAAGGTCAATTGGATTTGATTTGGGTCATTGACTTGAATGAGAGAGTTGGGTTTGCGGATTACACTTCAGGAGAATATTTGGGGAGTCATAATGCAACAATGATATAATTGCTACTTAGTTGGGATTTATTTGCTGGGAAAGAAAATTTGTTTTGAAAAGCAGCAAAACACACGCAAGGACTTGGAATTATTTGCGGATCACTCAAATAAGCAGGCCCTAAGTATTATATCTAAGTATTATATTAAGGAGCCAATTATTATTAATTCACGGAACAGAGAGGAATATTAACGCCGCCACACCTAGAGAAAATATCACACAGAAAACAGAGTCGCGAGCAGAGGACTTACGCGAGGAAGCCCGATCACTTGCGGAGGGAGGCCGCACCCGTACACGAGGGAGATAATTAATCTCTCTCTTTTATCTTTTATTTATTTTTATTTATTATGTTAGAGTAGATTTTTATTTCTAGTTCCAGGGATGTCAAACCCTACGATTAACTATGTTTTGATTGATTATATGATTGATGATTTTAATATCTCTTTGGAATTGTTTGTGTTATTTTGAATAATTAACCATGATGTGTTTAGTCTTGTTTAGATTGATCACCTATATTAGGCTTTATATATCTACACCTGAATTAGGCCTTCAATCCGTAATTGTTGATGTGTTTAATTCGCAAGTGGTATCCGGAAGATGGTAACTACCGGGGATAACACGGTGAACGAATGCGTCACTACTTAGTCTAGCCTATTTTTCTAATTCGTAAAGCGGCTAATTGAATTAAATTTAGGAAACGTTTCCTAGATTGTTCAAGAGGTCAGATTTAATCGTAGAGCGTCTCGCGGTTAGATTAAAAATAAGAAAAAATTCGGGTAACAGACCTTGTCGTTGCCTAGGGCTAGTAATTTCATAAGATAACGAGATTTGATACCAAACTTGATTAGACGAGTCAGTCGAGGGTGTAGACGAAACCGTGAACTAGAAAGTTCTCTTCATTTATTTATTTTTATTTTCATTGTTTAGATATTATTTTTTTATTAGGATTTTAGTTATTTTAGTTCTTAAATTCAAAATCCCCCCTCTTTTTATTACTTTCTTAATTCAATCAATACGAGAAATTCACAATTTGATACACACTCCTCGTGGGATCGACCCTTACTTGCCACTACTACTAGCTAGTAGAGGTTAGTTGAGGAAAATATAAATTTTAATTTTGCCGCGTTACGACGCGCGGTCAATAGATAGAAGGAATATTATTAAGATAAGAACCACTCGTGGATTAGACCACAAAGCCTTACAAAATTGGACAGTTCGGGCACCTGGGCAATACGAACGGGCAATTTGGGCACTCATGTAGTCCATCCGAACAGTGTTGGACAACAAGATAACATCTCTATATAAAGGTGTAAGGTACGAGAATCCGAACTCTACACACTCTAATATACTTACAAGCTTACATATCTATTGTTCATCGTAATTTTTACTGTGGTCTCTTGATCGTCGAAGTAATAAACGAGAACACCTCTCGGCCCATTTTGTAGGTCTTTGAACCTGAAGTAAGCGGATCCAAAGTCATTCCACCTGGTCGAGGTCGTTTGTACACTATATCATATTAAGAATACTTTTATGGCAAACATGTTCAATGATTTATAAATATCTATACATCATCTTATATTAATATTTATATGACCAGAATGACATTGTATTACAATTTTATTGACCTAGTCTCTTTGCATTGAGGGGCAGTGGCTTTTTCACTTTTCATATTCGACCCATCAAAATTCAAGAAAAATAAATTGAAAATGTAAAAGAGAAAAGGAGCAAAATGAGAAATTGCAATATATACGGCATGAGTTTGTATTAGGTAACGATTTGGAGCTTTTTCGTTTTAAGTCATATATGTGTTGCCATCATAGTAGATTCTATTCTATGGAGATTGTTTGACTTTATAATTGATGAAATAAATTATAGACCCTCAGTGAGATTAGTGTCATATATGCTTCAAGTTTATGAGCCGACTTGTGTCGATAGAATGTTATCATGAGCCTGACTTGTGACGAAAGGTTAGAAGGACGAGAAAGCCTAAAGCTAAGCAAGAAGATGGTTGTTCTTAGTGCAGAATGCATGTAAATGGTCGATTTATTGCTTATTCTTTTCACTCACACGGACAATATTTGTAATTAAGTGTAACAAAACATCATAATAATACAATGAGAAATTACATTACAACAAAATCTAGGCCAATTGAAAGAGTTGACAGTACAGTTGAACTGCACTGACTCCGGACGAAGTTCACCTTCGATTCATGGCAAACAATGAAACAAGAAGAAAACTATATATAACTTTAGCCTAGCCATTACATTACATATATCCTATAAACGTACGTTGTTATTTTTGTTATTCTATATTATCTTTAATCATGGTTGAGCTTTCCAAGTCGATGAAATATCATCTACTGCCTCACCAACAGTCAGATAAACTCCTTCTAAACCGAACGACTCCAATATTTTCGAATGGTGCAGTTTCTCTGTAACACTTGCAACAGGGTTTGCCAATACAAGCTGCATTATTATGATTATCATAACCAGAGTTAAATAATAATAATAATAATAATAATAATAATAATAATAATAATAATAATAATAATAATAATAATAATAATAATAATAATAAATGAAAGTCTTGTTAAAGATAGATCTTGCCAATAAGCATGTTTAAAGAAAAAAAAAAAGTTGTTTTTACCTTGAGGGATTGCTTGTCAAGTTTCTTTCTGAGCTCACTTATGGTGTCGAGGCCACTTGTATCAATTCCTGTCACGGCTGAACACAATACAGAATACATTGTTAGGAAAATTATGTAACATTTCGTCTTCATTTATCACGGATAGTTTTGACAAAAAAAAAAA